TATATATGTGTATATGTATTTATATATATATTGAGCAGGCTCCAGTGAGTAGTAAGAGCAACTCTGAATCTTGAGTAATGACTCAAATCCACTAAGTCTAAAAAGCAAAATCTCATCATTAATATATTTAGACCTGATGCCCTCCTTCTTGTCAAGTTTACCTCATATACCCGCTCTGGTGTCTTGAAGTATTACTCCATGCGTTGGACACAGGCTGCTCGTGTATGTCACAATGCATATTTGCATTCAGTGTTACTGTGTGAAGACGCGTCCTGATTTGCCAGATTGTTTGCTGCACAGACCATCTGTGAAGGCTGTGTTGGAAACTCTTTGAGAGAAGGGCAGGCGTTCTCAAAAACTACTTGGCAGGTGATTGGAGGAACCATCTGTCTGTCCCAGTGGTAGAAGCCAGTTGGTAGAAGAGGGAGGTAAAAAAGTTCTTGTCCGTTTAGGAAAACCTTAATTGCCAGAGATGTTCTTTCAGTCCGGTGGCAAAACCTTCAAATTCCATTTCCAGGACACAGAGAATGAATCACATCATAAAGGACGGACTTTTCTCTCTTCATATACTATATTTACCTACTGCTCAGTATATTTTATTTATATATATATGTATGTATATTTTTAAATTATTGCTATGGTGATGGTGAGTACATTTAAAAGAAAGTCAGGTAACAGAAAAAAACGCTAAATATAAATTGTAACATAACAACAGGAAAAAGGGACAAAAGCATTTGTTTGGGGATGAATGAGGTGAAGGTCAGACTGACACAGCTGTTCTACATGACATGGTTCATAGACGTTCTGTTGTTGAGAGGTAGCAGGCCAGACACACTCACACTCACTCCCCCACCTCCCCCACAAATATATATAAAGAAATAAAGAAAAATGTACAATTTTACAACCAAATAAAAAAGGGTTAATGTTGCGTGTTTATATAAATGTCAAATAATTTGTTATATATGTTATTAAGATAATTGATAAGTTCTGATTTCTTTTTCCTCCTTTTCAGCGTGTTGTCTTTTTTTCCTCATTGTTCTGTGGTTTTCCTTATTTGCTGCCTGTTCAAATAGATAGAACATTTTCTTAGTTGAATATATTTCTTTACTTAAGCATCATTATTCTCTGGAAAAAAAAAAGATTTTTGTACATGGAAAATGACAGTTGTTCTTTTGTCTGTAAATGAGGTTTAACCAGGACGTTTTGGTAACATTCAAACTTTTCCCAAAGTCATTGTTGTTTTCCTCTTCCCAGGATCCTCCAGTTCTTCCAGTCGACCAGTTCAGTGAGAAGTTCGTCCACTTTATTACTCAGTGGTGAGTTTCTGATTCTCTCAGGACCCACGACTGAACAGATTTTAATTAAAGTTCAATTAAATGGTTCCGTGGTCACAGACTGTGTTGGACATTTGTCTGTGAATCTACTTTACACTTGTTTGCGTTTGTGGACTCGTGATAATAAACCCACAGAGCTGTGGCTGAGCATGAGCTACAAAGACCACGACCCGGGTTCTACATAAACCTAAGAACCAGACTATCCTGACTGGATCAACAGGTGGACAATGGGATCAATGTGCGTTTGACTGTTGGGTGTTGATTCACTGAGACAGAGGGACAATCACTGCTGCTGATTTGTACACACACCTGGAATGTTGGATTTGTCTAATGCAGCGAGACAAAGGAAATATTTACACAGTGTTCGCAATGGATTGGTCGACCTCCGGCGACCTTTACAGTTACACAGGAAAAGGGATGTGTGTGTGTGTGTGTGTGTTTTCACCCTAAATGTGAGGCACTGTTACCGAGCACGAGTCTACGTTCTCCAACGGTTCTGAACAGTCGTTTAGATTCATGATACAGTTTGATAATTAACTGCACACAGATCCTGACTGACCCACATATTTTTGTTGCTTTCACAGACCGAACATGTACACACTGTGGAGGACACGCCATTAACACACACACACACAATAACTTTTTTATAGATTTATTCAGCAGCATTAATTGAACCTACTAGTAGTAATTAAAAAAAATTTCTTTGAAAATCACTGCTGTTGTGCTGTGAAATGGGTTTCCTTGAATATAAGTTTTGAACTGAAGGAACAAAGAGCTTTTTGATGTAATACTGATTCAGCTGGAGCCAGAGACACACACGCTGCTTGTATCTCTTTTTAAAATCCATTTTGTTTCATTTTCTTTCAGTATGCGCCGGCAGCCCAAAGAGAGACCTGCACCCAATAACCTGATGGTGAGTCCAAACCAGTTTCCACTGCCCTCAGCAGATACGTTTTTGAATTACCGTGTAAAGACGGTGTCTGTGTCTGACAAAAAAATTCAAAATCCAATTAGCTGTGACAATTACACATCACTGCACCTTTTTTGTTTTTTTTTAAATATACATTATTTCGGCACAAACGGAGGTGCTGCGGGTCAAGGGCCGTCGAAGTTTTCACGCTGCTCCATGAAAGGAAGAAATTAACTTCTCGCTCTCAGTCAAAGACGTCTGAGATAAAGTAGGATAAGACCTACTTTAAAAAAAGAATTCCTTTTAATCATCGTTTCAGCCTAATCTGCTGCACAGGAGTCAAATGTTGTAGTTTTAGTTGCAAAAATGTGACAAAGTTTCAAAAATGTGTGTGTGTGTGTGTGTGTGTTCTGAGGAAACGTGACACATTTGATCAGTGTTTTTTCAGGGACAATTCTTGGGAATATAAGGAACCCTGGATCAGTGTTTTTTCAGGGACAATTCTTTAAATGGGAATATAAGGAACCCTAGTAGAATGGATGCAGATATAGACGTGAGTGTAAGAGAGTAGATACGCCAGAGTCAAACACGACCTTCACGACATTTCACTGTAAAAAAAAAAAAAAAAAAAAGTCACACTAAAGAGATACTTTGGTCGTGTACTCACAGACGCATCCTGTTATTGTTCAAGTTTTTACATTGTCACGTGTAAAAAAAAAAAAGTATTGTAAATACATGACACTTAACACTGCACTGAAACAGGCTTCCATACCTGGAGTTTTAGAAGAAAACAACAACAACAGCAGTGACACCGTTACCGTGGATACGGTTTGATATTTTTAACCTTTATTTTCTCTGTTAAGCTGAACAGAGAGCGAGTGCTAACAAAGAATTACAGTACAATCAATATTAAAAATGTTAATATATATATATATATATATATATGTACCCACTGAATATTAGGCTTTGTCTCTCATTTATTTCTAATATATTTGTTCTGGCTTTAAAAAAAAAACGAAACGTTCTAATACTCAGGATAGGAACTGGTCCAATATTGGTCAAAATTTTAGAATCATATATCAAAATAAAACAAACTATCCGGTCAGATCTGATACCTAAACCTCTAAAGCCGTAAACAGAGACACCACTGGCTCAGCAACAGCAGCATGTGTAGCATTGATATCTAAGATGCAGCATCAGTATCGGACATGAAGTTGTATCGTACCATCCCTAGAAACGTCCAACTTTTTCCCAGTACAACAGTACATACCATGTTATTTTGCAGTTGAAATGTTACAAGTTAAAAAGTCAAGTGGTCGAATTA